ACCTACTACACAACCTCTTCTTAATTTAACTGTTTTATTTGTGTTATTGACAATCATCAAAGGGAACTTTCTATTTTTATTAAAATTAACCACCGTATTACTTATTATCAATCCCGGTTCTGTACTAACATACCCTGAAGCCACAGGGGAGATCTCCAACAAATTAGTATGTCCAAAACTTGGATTGTTCTTAAGGCCCACGGGACAAACATTAATTTGTTTGTGGTTTTAACACAGCATTTGCAGTTAATCTTACAATTGAAGCTACATGAATATCTTCTAGACTTCTTCTAAAGGAACATAATTTTTTTGAATTCTTAAACAACCTAAATCAAAATATAATCTTACTCCATTTTGTACTAACCAATCTTTTCCTAAAATAACATTTCTATTCATGTGATTGTCTTTAACAACGTAAAATAATTGAGTAACTTTTGTACTTCCTATTTTAAAAGAGAGGTTTGCACAACCTTCTACATGTAAAAACCTCCCATTTACGGACTGTAAATTAGCCGTTTTCTTTCATAATTTAGGTTTATCCCTTAAAGTTGCAAAAATTCTTTTATGTATCAAAGAAACACTAGCGCCTGAATCTACAAGAGCTCTATATCTTTGATTTTGAATTTTAATTAAGTTGAAATTGGCGCTCCTGCAACATTTATAGAATAAGTAGGTCATTTATTTTCAATTTTACTCTTATCACCGGCTTCAACGTGACAAGAGCGCTTTAGTTTTCCTGATATACACCCCAGTTTTCTATCATGTTAACAGTCCTAGGTTTTCTATTTGGGCAATTTGGCCTAATATGTCCTCGTTGATTACACTGATAACAAATAATCTCATTATTTCCTCCCGAATTCCCCTGATATGTTTTCATTTCAACTGCATTAACTTGTCTATATTTTCCCCTAGAACGACAATCTCTTGCTATATGTCCTATCCTACCACAAGAATAACAATTAATCTCATTGTTCCTTCCCGAATTCCCGTGATATGTTTGCATTTCTACGGCATTAATTTGTCTCAAATTTCCCCCCACACGACAATCACGTGATATATGACCTACTCTGCCACAAGAATAGCAACATTTTGCATCACGATAATGATCAATTTCCATTGGTTCATGAGAGTTCAAAGGTTCAGTCCGTCGCAGTCTAGTTAAAGTCATTGGTCTTGGCGTTTTATGCCTTGGTTCGCTTACCCTTTCCGTCCTTAAAGTAAATCTTTTTCGTAAATTTTGTTCAGTCATGGCACTTTTAATTGCCAAAGCAAAAGTAGCTGGGTTTTCCTTCATTAATTTCATTTTTAAATAAGAGTGAGCCAAACCATCTATAAAAATACCTACTAGTTCCCTTTTTATAGCTTCATTATTTCCGTCTAAATCTGAGTATGCTTTATTTGCCAAATTAAATAAATTTTCTGCAAAAATTTGAACAGACTCGTCCCCTTTTTATTTTAATTGCCTCAAAAGAGTGGACACATGTTGAGGATCCGTGATTTCTCCAAACCGTGAAGTTAATTCTTTTTTTAATTGTTCCCAAGTTGTATCCCGATGATCTCTTAAATACCTTTGTATGTAATCTGAACAAGCCCCTTTACATGTTTGAAAAGCTATTTCTTTAATCCGTTCCAAATCATTAAAAAGTAAAGCATATTTTTCAATTGACTTAATCCAGGCTTTGAAATCTTTGGTATTACCTTCAAAAGGGGTAATTCCTTGAACTACGTTTTGAGAACAAATGGCTGATTTTAACCCTTTAGTTCGGCGGCTATATCGCCTTGAAAATTAACTATTTCCCTTAACCCATGTAATTCGTTTGCGACACCATTGAAAGCTATTTCTACTTTTTGTGCTGACATAGAAGCATCTTGATTATCCATCAGAAAGAATAAAAGCTAAGGTAATTGCAACTTACGTGGTTCCTTTTTATCGTTGTAGTGGTTGGAATTCCCGGTTGATCGTGGTCTAAACGGCACCAAATTTGACTTATGTAATGAAGTCAAAGACGAAACTAAGCAATTATAATTTATTACGTAATTACAAAGTTTCCAAAGATAGTTCGAAAGTTCAATTTCACTGTGACACTGGCCGAGATCTGACGAATTCTGGTGTTATCGAATTGTGTCCTTCTAGTCCGAAGCGGGACCTTATATAGTCCAGTGGGCCATTAATCCTCTTTAAACAATGGCCCATAACTGTTGGCAGTTTGCAGAGTAGTCTTGCTATTGAGTAATACTTGTATGAGGTTAATTGTTGGAAATGCAATAAACCTCTGCAGGATACATGTTGATTAAGCCGTGGACATTGTCATTAATTGTCTGCAGGGTATATGTACTATAATATTAGTGCACAACGTTATTAACTGTCTGCAGGATAAATGCATTTGTTTCAGTTACGTAATATTTAAATACATCTTGATAATTATTGTTTTTCATACACCTTGATACACATTGTGTTACATCATCTGACCTTGACCTCATTTTCATGGTTCAGTGGTCAAAGTTAAGTTTTTGAGTTTTGGTCTTTTTTTCTAATACTATATGCAATAGGTCAACTATATTTGGTGTATGGAAATATTTTATGATGTACATGTCAGTCTCGCAGGTTTTATTTGACCTTGACCGGCGTCGGCGTAAACTATTTGTTTAAAGCTTTTATATTTCAGAAGGTAGAAGACCTGGATGCTTCATATCTTGTATGCAGATACCTTATGTGACGAAGTTTCCGTCTGTCATATGTCCAATGTCCTTGACCTCATTTTCATGGTTCAGTGACTGATTGAAAAAAAAATTGCACTCTGTCTGTCTTTTTTTGTAATGAGAATTTCTCTCTTATTATGAGTAATAGGATAAATATATTTGGTATATGGGTTCCTTGCAACGTCTACATGTCCGTTTGGCAGGATTCACCTGACCTCAACCTCATTTCATGGATCAGTGATCAAGGTTAACGTGACATGATTAGGTCCGTTTCTCAAATACTATAAGCAGTAGGATAACTGTATGTGGTGTATGGAATGTTCTGAAACTTATACACAATGCTTATTATCACAAAACACAGATCAAGTTTGAATTTTGGTGGCGTCACTTTTACCGTTCTAGAGTTATGCACCTTTACAAATGGAAAAATTGCTGAATTTTACGTTTCTTTTCTCTAACTTAAGTTTGCCTCAACCAAATAGGGCAATCTCTGTGTCCCATGGACACATTCCCCATTTATTTTATAACTTTTTTGCAAAGTCCATCAACATTTCATATTTAAAAATTAAAGCTTTTATGCACTTTCACAGAAAATATAAATTCTTCACAAGTCTAACATGTATATTTACTCTGCAATATCCTGTGTGAAACTCTCTCTATTTTAGCATGCACAAGATAAAACACTTGATTGTATAATACTAAATATAGTAATATTTTACAAGTGAACTATTTAAAAGACACAATGATTTCCTAACATTTGATGAATTAGCAAAAATGATCAGCAAGATTAGATCTACAAATAAGTCAATATAGCCTAAATCTTCAGTCGACTCCTTATTGAAATACTTGCTTTTTAATGACAATTTATAGCAATTTTTTTGCGTTTTTGCTAATTATCTTGAAAACTATTAAGGTAGACACCTTGAATAGCAAAAATTATGAACAAGACCAGATCTACATGTACAAATAAATATTTGCCGAAATTGTTAGTTGACTCTTGACCCTTGCCATTAAATGACAATTTTTGACCCTTTTCTATGTTTTGGGGCAAAAACTAAAGCAGATAGAGAGAAATTGGAAACCAAAAAAAAGTATCAACAATACAAGATCAACAAAAACATATTTTTGTTGTGAATTCTAGTCTAGTCCATAATGTTGGAGAGTCTTAAATGTCCATTGTCCTCAACTTCATTTTAATGGTTTAATGACTGCTTGAAAAAAAATAACAGTGAAAGCTAACTATATTTGGTATATAGGATCCTTGTAAGGTTTACATGTCCATGAGACAGGGGTCACCTGACATCAACCTCATTTCATGGATCAGTGATTAAAGTTAAGTTTTCTTGGCCAAGTCCATATCTCAGATACTATAAGCAAAAGGTCAACTATATAAGATTGCTGTGCTGTCAAACATATGAAGACGGTTACTATTGAATGGACATTTATTTCTACTTTCTAAGACTCTCATGTCATCTGTGTTGTGCTTTACAGTAAGAACAACTCAGATTCTTCAGATTGGTTTGTTTGAAAGAGTAAAACAAACAAGCAGATTAAATTGAAACAACTATCCCTTAAGTTTCGTCTCAAAAATCCTCATGTTTTGATATGTCCCTTTGTTATTTGCAAATATTTTACAATATGGAAAAACAGTATTATACAGTGCAGGAACATTTCCCTACAGCAAAATACTTGTATCTGTTTCAATATATAATAAAATTGAGAATGGAAATGGGGAATGTGTCAAAGAGACAACAACCCGACCACAGAACAGACAACAGCAGAAGGCCACCAACAGGTCTTCAATACAGCGAGAAATTCCCGCACCCGGAGGCGTCCTTCAGCTGGCCCCTATACAAATATATATACTAGTTCAGTGATAATGAACACCATACTAAACTCCAAATTGTACACAAGAAACTAAAATTAAAAATAATACAAGACTAACAAAGGCTAGAGGCTCCTGACTTGGGACAGGCGCAAAAATGCGGCGGGGTTAAACATGTTTATGAGATCTCAACCCTCCCCCTATACCTCTAGCCAATGTAGAAAAGTAAACGCATAACAATACGCACATTAAAATTCAGTTCAAGAGAAGTCTGAGTCTGATGTCAGAAGATGTAACCAAAGAAAATAAACAAAATGACAATAATACATAAATAACAACAGACTTACTAGCAGTTAACTGACATGCCAGCTCCTGTATATATATATGCTAGAGAGACTTACAAATTAACTTTATGCCTGCCATACAATTAACAGTACCAACTTTTTTCCACCAGATGCTAATTTTGACAATTATTATACGACCGCAAAAAAATTTTGTGGTCGTATATTGGTATGACGTTGGCGTCGTCGTCGTCGTCCGAAGACACATTGGTTTTCGCACTCTAACTTTAGTTTAAGTGAATGGATCTCTATGAAATTTTACCATAGGGTTCAATACCACAGAAGGAAGGTGGGGATTGATTTTGGGGGTTATGGTACCAACAGTTAAGGAATTAGGGGCCAAAAAAGGGGCCAAAAATAAGCATTTTTGTAACTTCCAGACATAACTTGTGTGTTAGTGTATGGATGTCTCTGACATTGTACCACAAGGTTCCATTTCACAAAGGGAATGCTGGGATTGATTTTGGGGGTAATTGCCTCCAAATTTTAGGAATTAGGGGCCAAAAAGGGGCAAAAAACAAGCATTTTTCTAGTTTCATGACAATAACTTGTGTGTAAGTGTATGGATCTCTCTGACATTGTACCACAAGGTTCCATATCACAAAGGGAATGCTGGGATTGATTTTGGGGGTAATTGCCTCCAAATTTTAGGAATTAGGGGCCAAAAAGGGGCAAAAAACAAGCATTTTTCTAGTTTCATGACAATAACTTGTGTGTAAGTGTATGGATCTCTCTGACATTGTACCACAAGGTTCCATATCACAAAGGGAATGCTGGGATTGATTTTGGGGGTAATTGCCTCCAAATTTTAGGAATTAGAGGCCAAAAAGGGGCACAAACAAGCATTTTTCTAGTTTCATGACAATAACTTGTGTGTAAGTGTATGGGTCTTTATGAAATTGTACTACAAGGTTCCATATCACAAAGGGAAAGCTGGAATTGATTTTGGGGGTAATTGCCCACAACGTTTAGGAATAAGGGGCCAAAAATAAGCATTTTTCTTAAGTTTCCAGACAATAACTTGTGTTCAAGTGTATGGATCTCTCTGAAATTGTACTGCAAGGTACCATACCACAAAGGGAAGGCTGGGATTGATTTTGGGGGTAATTCCCTAGAAATTTGAGGAATTAGGGGCCATAAAGGGGGAAAAAAAACAAGCATTTTTCTAGTTTAAGGACAATAACTTGTGTGTAAGTGTATGGATCTTTATGAAATTGTACTGCAAGGTTTCATATCACAAAGGGAAAGCTGGGTTTGAGTTTTGGGGTAATTGCCCTAAATGTTTAGGAATTTGGGGCCATAAAGGGGCCAAAAAACAAGCATTTTTCTAGTTTCCAGACAATAACTTGTGTTCAAGTGTATGGATCTCTCTGAAATTGTACTCATACATATGAACCTCCCAACGGGAGTACAATAATCCTGTTTTCAGGGGTCTCCTCCCGACCTCCCGTTGAAGACAAAAAAAATCCCGTGTATGAAATATTTCATGAATGAAAAATTTCAGTCCAACATATCTGGTGTAACTGACATTACCTGAAGTTATATTTTACCTGTAAATCAATTAACATGCATAATTATATGGCTTCACTTGTCACCTTGGGTGTCAAACATACTGGTAATCAACGATTTTTACCTCAGGCTAACTGCCGTTGTGTAATAAAACTTTGTGTATTTAAAATGAATGTTGGGTTACTTCCCTTGATTTATCCAGTTTTAAGTTATTTTCCTTTAAATAATGTAAATTTTTAAAAGAATATAAATAAAATATAAATTGAACAAATAATCATAAAAGGATGGTAATTAAATGATTTTAAATGTCTTAGGACAAATAAAAAAATAATAATTTGAAAATTATTTGAGGGGTCTATACTTCCTTTCAAGGTTTAAATTGAAATTTATATAATGACTATGACCCATGAACATAGTTTGAAGGTGTTACTTATCATGCATTAAAAATCTACTTGCATAATAAAGATAAAAAAAAAAAAATCTACTTGCATATAGATATAAAAAAAAGATCTACTTGCAGATAGATAAGCAAATGTTCTGATTGCAATGAATAATGGTAAAAAAGATATGACCTAAAAAATTTAAAGAACATACAAATAAAGAAGAATGTTAGATTGAACAAGTTCAAAGTTTAAAAAGATAGAGAAAATTTATAAGTACAAGGGTACTATAAATATAATACATTCGGATGGAAAGTTGAAGTTTTGGCAATTTTTTACCCTTTTCTATGTTTTGGGGCAAAAAATAAAGCAGATAGAGAGAAATTGGAAACCAAAAAAAAGTATCAACAATACAAGATCAACAAAAAAATATTTTTGTTGTGAATTCTAGTCTAGTCCATAATGTTGGAGAGTCTTAAATGTCCATTGTCCTCAACTTCATTTTAATGGTTTAATGACTGCTTGAAAAAAAATAACAGTGAAAGCTAACTATATTTGGTATATAGGATCCTTGTAAGGTTTACATGTCCATGAGACAGGGGTCACCTGACATCAACCTCATTTCATGGATCAGTGATTAAAGTTAAGTTTTCTTGGCCAAGTCCATATCTCAGATACTATAAGCAAAAGGTCAACTATATAAGATTGCTGTTCTGTCAAACATATGAAGACGGTTACCATCACTACAAACCAGTAAAAGTCTGAAATGGCCTATATTTGTACTCGACTGTACTGATTTTTACTCGACCAGTCTGAATTGGTCTGAAATTTACTTGATAATACTCGACTGTAGTCTGAACCATACTTAACAGTCTGAACTTGTACTCGACCAGTACTTAACCGTTTTATTTTCGTCTGAACCATGCTCGACCTAGTCTGAACCATGCTCGACCTAGTCTGAACCATACTCGACCTAGTCTGAACCATACTCGACTAAGTCTTAACCAACCTAGACCTAATTTTTGTATCTATCTATTGTATTTCATCAATTTAGGAACTGTTTTTAACAGCTATTTCCCCTGGTTAGAAATTTGAACAACAATTTGAAATTTAAAATGTATTCAATATGGCATTGAAACCAAAATTTCACAATAAACATAATATAAATTCAACACCATATTTATCAACACTTACATATATATATCACCTTTAAAATAAAAATAAAACAAGCTGATCAAATAATCTCAAAACTGAATTGTGGCTAATATTTTCAATGTTATTCAAATTTTTTTGAATGTTTCAGATATATTTTATGGTAACTGGACAATTTTCACCACTTACTTAAGCCTTGTATAGATTTATGGTGTCAGTTGAGTTTAGTTAATAATGCAGTGAACATCTTTTTTATTAAAATATATTTAAAATAGTATATAAAGCAACTTAATAAATTTTAAAAATCACACCTTTGTTTTGTAAAACCAAGAATTTAATGTAATCATGATAGAACTTCCATAGCATTCCTTGATAACCATTTAAAAAAGGAAATGTGTTCCAAAGTTGCAGAAAAACTTTATTTCAATTAAATTTAAATACCTTTTGTCAAAATTAAAGACATGGCATACAAGAAGCACTTTAATAAGGTTTAATTACCTCAGTACATGTGTGTTTTACAGGTAAAAAGAAAGCCCTTTTTTTCTTAAACTCGTGTATTACTTATCTAGTGAATTCAAAAGGCCTTGCGATTTAAGTTTTACAGGATGTTGCAATTTTTAATGAATGCTAATTAGAAATTAATACTCTCTGGCCAGGTGTGATCTTTTTAATGAGTTTGCCCCAAGCAGGAGGTATTACTTTATACTTTACCACTAATCAGAAGAAAAATTTTATCTATTTCTTTAATTTTTTTTATCCTTTTTTGATATGTATTATATATAATATATCCCAAATTATAATAAGAACAAATATATTTCTAATATAAGGTTAAACAATTTCAGTGATTTTTTGGCTGTTGTTACCTCATTAAAAAGATAATTATATAACTATTGTATGTAACCATGAAACCTATATAGTTTTTCTTTAGGAACTTAGGAAAATTAAGTTTAAAAAAAAAAAAAAAAACACATGCCAAACAAGAAGCACCTTAATAAGGTTTTATTACCCTCAGTAAAGGTGTGGTTTTTAGTTAAAAGAAAATCTTTTTTTTAGCAACACTCTAAAAATTTAAAATTAATATAATTAAATTATTAAATAAAATAATTTAATTTAACTATCTCTATTTGATAAATCAGAGAATCATGTAAGGATGTAAAAATATGTTTTTATATATATCTTTATTTTATTGTGGCTGTTGTCATGTCAGAAAAAAAGAAATTAATTTTAACAGCTAAAATTAAAAAAAAGTATAGGTTTTTTGGTCAAGTATGGTTCAGACTGGTCGAGTATTGTTCAGACCTTTGGTCGAGTATGGTTAAGACTGAAAAAATTGGTAGAGAATGGGTTAAGACTGTTTCAGACTGGTCGAGTAATAGTTCAGACTATTTTCAATGGCAAAGATAAGGGTCAAGTACAAATCAGTACGGTCGAGTATGGTTAAGACTAGGGTCGAGTATTGTCGAGTAAAATTCAGACCAATTCAGACTGGTCGAGTAAAAATCAGTACAGTCGAGTACAGATATAGGCCATTTCAGACTTTTACTGGTTTGTAGTGCATTGAATGGACATTTATTTCTACTTTCTAAGACTCTCATGTCATCTGTGTTGTGCTTTACAGTAAGAACAACTCAGATTCTTCAGATTGGTTTGTTTGAAAGAGTAAAACAAGCAAGCAGATTAAATTGAAACAACTATCCCTTAAGTTTCGTCTCAAAAATCCTCATGTTTTGATATGTCCCTTTGTTATTTGCAAATATTTTACAATATGGAAAATCAGTATTATACAGTGCAGGAACATTTCCCTACAGCAAAATACTTGTATCTGTTTCAATATATAATGTATATATATATGCTAGAGAGACTTACAAATTAACTTTATGCCTGCCATACAATTAACAGTACCAATTTTTTTTTCACCAGATGCTAATTTTGACAATTATTATACGACCGCAAAAAAATTTTGTGGTCGTATATTGGTATGACGTTGGCGTCGTCGTCGTCGTCCGAAGACACATTGGTTTTCGCACTCTAACTTTAGATTAAGTGAATGGATCTCTATGAAATTTTACCATAGGGTTCAAGACCACAAAAGGAAGGTGGGGATTGATTTTGGGGGTTATGGTACCAACAGTTAAGGAATTAGGGGCCAAAAAGGGGCCAAAAATAAGCATTTTTGTTACTTCCAGACATAACTTGTGTGTTAGTGTATGGATCTCTCTGACATTGTACCACAAGGTTCCATATCACAAAGGGAATGCTGGGATTGATTTTGGGGGTAATTGCCTCCAAATTTTAGGAATTAGGGGCCAAAAAGGGGCAAAAAACAAGCATTTTTCTAGTTTCATGACAATAACTTGTGTGTAAGTGTATGGATCTCTCTGACATTGTACCACAAGGTTCCATATCACAAAGGGAATGCTGGGATTGATTTTGGGGGTAATTGCCTCCAAATTTTAGGAATTAGGGGCCAAAAAGGGGCACAAACAAGCATTTTTCTAGTTTCATGACAATAACTTGTGTGTAAGTGTATGGGTCTTTATGAAATTGTACTACAAGGTTCCATATCACAAAGGGAAAGCTGGAATTGATTTTGGGGGTAATTGCCCACAACGTTTAGGAATAAGGGGCCAAAAAGGGGCCAAAAATAAGCATTTTTCTTAAGTTTCCAGACAATAACTTGTGTTCAAGTGTATGGATCTCTCTGAAATTGTACTGCAAGGTACCATACCACAAAGGGAAGGCTGGGATTGATTTTGGGGGTAATTCCCTAGAAATTTGAGGAATTAGGGGCCATAAAGGGGCAAAAAAAACAAGCATTTTTCTAGTTTCAGGACAATAACTTGTGTGTAAGTGTATGGATCTTTATGAAATTGTACTGCAAGGTTCCATATCACAAAGGGAAAGCTGGGTTTGAGTTTTGGGGTAATTGTCCTAAATGTTTAGGAATTTGGGGCCATAAAGGGGCCAAAAAACAAGCATTTTTCTAGTTTCCAGACAATAACTTGTGTTCAAGTGTATGGATCTCTCTGAAATTGTACTCATACATATGAACCTCCCAACCGGTGTACAATAATCCTGTTTTCAGGGGTCTCCTCCCGACCTCCCGTTGAAGACAAAAAAATCCCGTGTATGAAATATTTCATGAATGAAAAATTTCAGTCCAACATATCTGGTGTAACTGACATTACCTGAAGTTATATTTTACCTGTAAATCAATTAACATGCATAATTATATGGCTTCACTTGTCACCTTGGGTGTCAAACATACTGGTAATCAACGATTTTTACCTCAGGCTAACTGCCGTTGTGTAATAAAACTTTGTGTATTTAAAATGAATGTTGGGTTACTTCCCTTGATTTATCCAGTTTTAAGTTATTTTCCTTTAAATAATGTAAATTTTTAAAAGAATATAAATAAAATATAAATTGAACAAATAATCATAAAAGGATGGTAATTAAATGATTTTAAATGTCTTAGGACAAATAAAAAAATAATAATTTGAAAATTATTTGAGGGGTCTATACTTCCTTTCAAGGTTTAAATTGAAATTTATATAATGACTATGACCCATGAACATAGTTTGAAGGTGTTACTTATCATGCATTAAAAATCTACTTGCATAATAAAGATAAAAAAAAAAAATCTACTTGCATATAGATATAAAAAAAAGATCTACTTGCAGATAGATAAGCAAATGTTCTGATTGCAATGAATAATGGTAAAAAAGATATGACCTAAAAAATTTAAAGAACATACAAATAAAGAAGAATGTTAGATTGAACAAGTTCAAAGTTTAAAAAGATAGAGAAAATTTATAAGTACAAGGGTACTATAAACATAATACATTCGGATGGAAAGTTGAAGTTTTGGCAATTTTTTACCCTTTTCTATGTTTTGGGGCAAAAACTAAAGCAGATAGAGAGAAATTGGAAACCAAAAAAAAGTATCAACAATACAAGATCAACAAAAAAATATTTTTGTTGTGAATTCTAGTCTAGTCCATAATGTTGGAGAGTCTTAAATGTCCATTGTCCTCAACTTCATTTTAATGGTTTAATGACTGCTTGAAAAAAAATAACAGTGAAAGCTAACTATATTTGGTATATAGGATCCTTGTAAGGTTTACATGTCCATGAGACAGGGGTCACCTGACATCAACCTCATTTCATGGATCAGTGATTAAAGTTAAGTTTTCTTGGCCAAGTCCATATCTCAGATACTATAAGCAAAAGGTCAACTATATAAGATTGCTGTTCTGTCAAACATATGAAGACGGTTACCATTGAATGGACATTTATTTCTACTTTCTAAGACTCTCATGTCATCTGTGTTGTGCTTTACAGTAAGAACAACTCAGATTCTTCAGATTGGTTTGTTTGAAAGAGTAAAACAAGCAAGCAGATTAAATTGAAACAACTATCCCTTAAGTTTCGTCTCAAAAATCCTCATGTTTTGATATGTCCCTTTGTTATTTGCAAATATTTTACAATATGGAAAATCAGTATTATACAGTGCAGGAACATTTCCCTACAGCAAAATACTTGTATCTGTTTCAATATATAATGTATATATATATGCTAGAGAGACTTACAAATTAACTTTATGCCTGCCATACAATTAACAGTACCAATTTTTTTTTCACCAGATGCTAATTTTGACAATTATTATACGACCGCAAAAAAATTTTGTGGTCGTATATTGGTATGACGTTGGCGTCGTTGTCGTCGTCCGAAGACACATTGGTTTTCGTACTCTAACTTTAGTTTAAGTGAATGGATCTCTATGAATACCATAGGGTTCAATACCACAAAAGGAAGGTGGGGATTGATTTTGGGGGTTATGGTACCAACAGTTAAGGAATTAGGGGCCAAAAAGGGGCCAAAAATAAGCATTTTTGTAACTTCCAGACATAACTTGTGTGTTAGTGTATGGATCTCTCTGACATTGTACCACAAGGTTCCATATCACAAAGGGAATGCTGGAATTGATTTTGGGGGTAATTGCCTCCAAATTTTAGGAATTAGGGGCCAAAAAGGGGCAAAAAACGCATTTTTCTAGTTTCATGACAATAACTTGTGTGTAAGTGTATGGATCTCTCTGACATTGTACCACAAGGTTCCATATCACAAAGGGAATGCTGGGATTGATTTTGGGGGTAATTGCCTCCAAATTTTAGGAATTAGGGGCCAAAAAGGGGCACAAACAAGCATTTTTCTAGTTTCATGACAATAACTTGTGTGTAAGTGTATGGGTCTTTATGAAATTGTACTACAAGGTTCCATATCACAAAGGGAAAGCTGGAATTGATTTTGGGGGTAATTGCCCACAACGTTTAGGAAAAAGGGGCCAAAAATAAGCATTTTTCTTAAGTTTCCAGACAATAACTTGTGTTCAAGTGTATGGATCTCTCTGAAATTGTACTGCAAGGTACCATACCACAAAGGGAAGGCTGGGATTGATTTTGGGGGTTATTCCCTGGAAATTTGAGGAATTAGGGGCCATAAAGGGGCAAAAAAAACAAGCATTTTTCTAGTTTCAGGACAATAACTTGTGTGTAAGTGTATGGATCTTTATGAAATTGTACTGCAAGGTTCCATATCACAAAGGGAAAGCTGGGTTTGAGTTTTGGGGTAATTGCCCTAAATGTTTAGGAATTTGGGGCCATAAAGGGGCCAAAAAACAAGCATTTTTCTAGTTTCCAGACAATAACTTGTGTTCAAGTGTATGGATCTCTCTGAAATTGTACTCATACATATGAACCTCCCAACGGGAGTACAATAATCCTGTTTTCAGGGGTCTCCTCCCGACCTCCCGTTGAAGACAAAAAAATCCCGTGTATGAAATATTTCATGAATGAAAAATTTCAGTCCAACATATCTGGTGTAACTGACATTACCTGAAGTTATATTTTACCTGTAAATCAATTAACATGCATAATTATATGGCTTCACTTGTCACCTTGGGTGTCAAACATACTGGTAATCAACGATTTTTACCTCAGGCTAACTGCCGTTGTGTAATAAAACTTTGTGTATTTAAAATGAATGTTGGGTTACTTCCCTTGATTTATCCAGTTTTAAGTTATTTTCCTTTAAATAATGTAAATTTTTAAAAGAATATAAATAAAATATAAATTGAACAAATAATCATAAAAGGATGGTAATTAAATGATTTTAAATGTCTTAGGACAAATAAAAAAATAATAATTTGAAAATTATTTGAGGGGTCTATACTTCCTTTCAAGGTTTAAATTGAAATTTATATAATGACTATGACCCATGATCATAGTTTGAAGGTGTTACTTATCATGCATTAAAAATCTACTTGCATAATAAAGATAAAAAAAAAAATCTACTTGCATATAGATATAAAAAAAAGGTCTACTTGCAGATAGATAAGCAAATGTTCTGATTGCAATGAATAACTGTAAAAAAGATATGACCTAAAAATTTAAAGAACATACAAATAAAGAAGAATGTTAGATTGAACAAGTTCAAAGTTTAAAAAGATAGAGAAAATTTATAAGTACAAGGGTACTATAAACATAATACATTCGGATGGAAAGTTGAAGAAAACACACTTTAACAGACAATTTCTACAGCACACGGTTACATTTACGACAGAATTTATGTCGATTAAAAACCTCCTGATCTGAGTCCTAATCTCCTGACCAAAATTTCCCAAACTCCTGATCTGAGTTTCACAGTCCATCACATGTATGTGTACTACAAGGTACCATACCACAAAGGGAAGGCTGGGATTGAGTTTGGGGTGATGAATCATAAGGGGGTTCAAAAAATTTGGGGTTTTTTTTTTTTTCCTTTTTTTTCTTTAAAATTTTCCATTTTAAATTGGTTATTTCTGATTTATATATAAAAGCAAATAATAATGATATGGTTTGAATAGATAAATTAAAAAATTTTAAGTTCTTAGACCACATTCATTCTCTGTCAGAAACCTATGCTGTGTCAAATATTTAATTACAATCCAAATTCAGTGCTGTATCAAGCTTTAATGTTGTGTCCATACTTGCCCCAACTGTTCAGGGTTCGACCTCTGCGGTCGTATCAAGCTGCGCCCCAGCGGAGCATTTTATTGTGTCTTCAGTGATGATGGAGGCCAAAATAATTGAAAATCAAAAACCTAATACAAAAGTTTGAAGAGCTGATAAAACCAATAAATTTTAATTTATTTTAGATAATAATGGAAGGAAAGTTGCCAAATTAGTGAGTTTTATGTTCATGATAGCTTTTTTTCTGTTTATCCTGTGGTCAACCATTTTCAATTGTAAGTATTTGTATATGTTTTTGCGTGAACCCTTAAATATTGGTGTGTTTTGGTAGCTTCTATGGGCCATTCAGATATCCTCGGAATCAAGATTCTCTGAACGTCTTGAAATTTTCAATCATTTATACAGGTAGTGATCTATGTCTTTCATATATAGGCCCTCCATAAATAGGCTACCACCTGACATTGTATATTTCAACGATCAAAGTAGTAAAGACTAGAATCTTTTACATATTCCAATCTATTTGCTATTTAACAGAACATATTACTTTTGGTGTAAATGTTTATTAAGTAATAAGTATCAAGTATTAAGATAACACAATTATATAATTCATGTTTTGAGACGGTCCCTGTACGCGTTGTGTGGGTAGTGTAAAATACAACATGCTATTGTGCATTGGGTCAATAAACCTGGGAAAAGTATACTGTTCATGACAATATATTATGTTCAAGAATAAACTGAATAATTCTGAACGTTAACCATGTGATATTTTGTATTTCCACCATAGCCTTAGCAAATGTCGGAAAGCAAAAAGAAAATTAACAGAACGATATTTCTGTTCAAAATATTTATCTTAGGTCAGAAACACATTGATCAGAAAATAGAATTATAATTGAACAAAACGATATTTCTGTCCAAAATATTTAACTTCATTAACAGATACTAGCATAACTTGGGAATATTCATTAAAACTGTAAGTTTAAACAAACGAACAAAACATTTATGTTAAAATACAGAATTGACTTGAACTAAGATATGTTTAAATTAAAATTTATGTATGCTTGCTTTTTCAGGTTATATAAACCAGCAATATAGTGGTAAGTTTATGGCATAATAGTTCCTTTTGCAAATGTATATATTTTCTAAATAGCTATGTTAAAATCCATGTGATGTTTTACTTTTAAATCCCATCTAAGATCTTTCTGATGTTTTCTGCATTTTCCATAGCATCATCTGCACATATAGTATTTGGACATTTCATTGGACATATTTCTTCAGGTAATCAGACATTTCGTGGTACATTTCCTTAAAAGCTTGCTGATTTCCATGTATATTTAAACACTCCATATACTGAGACTTAAACAAAATTAAATGTCATATTGAAACCAAACTAGTTCTAATATTATTTATAAATATACAACAAAAGTAAAATCTGTCTTGGCATTAATTATTCCAATACAGACGAAGTCGAAGGGGACTTTAGGTTTGCATTCCTTCCGTCTGTCTGTCCATCCATCAGTCCGGCAAATCAGTTTTCCACACTTTTTTTCTCCGTGCTTGAACATATTGATTTGATATTTGGTGTATTGTTTTATCACGACAAGTTACAGATCAAGTTTGAATTTTGTTCGGGTCTGATGATTTTGTGCAGAGTTATGGTCCTTGGACTTAGAAAATTCACTCAAATAATCAATTTTCCGCACTTTTATTCGTCATGCTATAAAATATTGATTTGATAATTGGTATATAGTTTGATCATGACAAGTTACAGATCAAGTTTGAATTTTGTTCCAGTCCGATGATTTTGTGCAGAGTTATGGTCCTTGGACTTAGAAAATTCCCTCACATAATCAGTTTTCCTCACTATTTTTCGTCATGCTTGAAGATATTGATTTGATAAGTGGTATATAGTTTTATCATGACAAGTTACAGATCAAGTACGAATTTTGTTCTGGTCCGATGATTTTGTGCAGAGTTATGGTCCTTGGACTTAGAAAATTCCCTCACATAATCAGTTTTCCTCACTATTTTTTGTCATGCTTGAGGATAATGATTTGATTTTTTTTTTTAAATTTACACCATGACAAGGTATAGATCAAGTAAGCATTTTGTTCAAGTACAATGCATTTTTTTTGCGTTTACTACAATTATGCTAACACGATCAAAATGGAAATTTCTAATGTCTTCTCGAGTAAACACGCATTTACACTGTATCTGTTTATTCAGTAGTTAACAGACGTTTATATACCTATATGGAGTTATTTTCTTTCAGAACGATAGGTCTTTCTTTTTAAGAATCAACCCGTGGCGATACCAAGTTTCAATGAAATTTGCTTCAAGGCATAAAATAATGACCTGTGTAAGGTCATTATTTTCTCTGATTAAGATGCAAACTATAATTTACTTAAACATTCAATGCATTTCAAAGTTATCGTGTGCTGTTGCCAATTGGTGTTTTACTAAGATGAAGACAGAAACAATCCTTTCCTCTGATTATTAGACTGAAATACACATTAATCGACCCATATTTTTACTTTCAAAACAAATAATGTGAAGTTTTGTTGATTTATCAATAAAGGTACATTATGTGAGATGCAATTAATAAAGCAAGAATTTTTATAAAACTTTTAAAACAAGCCAAATATAACACATTTGAGTGTAGGATTTTTAAAGTTGATTGATTCGCACTGTATTCAAAATCATATTTTGACCTATGGGGATTTTCGTTTTTGTGTAACATGCATGTACATCACGATTTAGTGCTCTCTTTGTGCAAGTTCTTCACTTTTACATTTATATATACTTTTATTTTCAACAAAAGATTGATTGATTGTTGGTTGCTTAACGTCCAGTGACAAATATTTCATGCATGTTCAGGACGAGCCTGCAAAATTCAAGAAAACAATTATTCTGAATAGTTCTTTAGAATTTTTGAAAAAAGGAGATGCTTTTCCGAGATAAAAATGTCATGAAAAAGAACCCCAAAAACCCATAGCATCCCCCTTTCAAGAACTAATTTGATACAATAAATTACTTACAAATTGACTTGTATTTTTCAGACTTCATCACAATTCATTTGTGTCTTGCTTCATGCAGTTACAGTATTTTATTGTAACTTGATAATGATGTCTAAAGTTTTTATATCTAGATTAATATGTGAATTTTATTTCATGTTATAAATGATCTGTAGGGCTTATTTATACCTGAATGTGCAAGAAAAGAATATACCACTTTAGTATTATTGGTAAAATAGGATGAAAATCCTGCAAATCTTTGCAGAAAATATAATTTTTTGACGGTATATAAGTGAGATAATGCATATTTTAAGGTTTTCTTGTTGTATAACACACCTCGGGTGTCAGGATGGCCAAAGAAAGACCTCCATACGGTCAGTCTTTCATTTGACCAATTCTGACACCCCTCAGTGTGTTATACGACAAAAAAAACCTTAAAATGTGCATTATCTATAACTATACTACAGATTTTACATCTTTTCCTGTACGTGCACTTAGAAAACACAAGTTTACTCTTCCCTTTAACTATTTGTGGAAATTATGAATATACTTTTTTAACTGGATATA